TCTACAACTTTTGTATACAACATATTCACAGAAAACTTGATTAGCATGATGAAAAAGCCACTTAACAGGAACTGCTCATGTAGCCATTTCAACATTCAATTGCAATCAAGTGCTTCACTTATTCTACTAACAAGACTATGCATGAGTAGCTAATTACAAGGATGATAAACCACTATTACTCAGCTACTTATGATTAGAGCAAGCAAAGGAACATTACATGACTTAAGTATAGTGGGCATATCTAAAAACAGTGGGCATATATAATCACAGTGAGCATATATAATCACAGGGAGCATATACAAAAACAATGAGCATATATAATCACAGGGAGCATATACAAAAATAGTGAACATATATAATCACAGTGAGCATATATAATCACAGGGAGCATCCAATGGCTATCACCTTAATTTCATAAGGCTCAATTTCACTCTTAATCACAAAGCTTAATTCCACATTCCTTCAGAAAGCACGGCATGAACTTAGTGGAGCAGGAATGGAGGAGAAGGGGGTTGGGGCATACCTGTAGAAGACCTAGCCAAAGCAAGTGGTGGTGGGCATAGGGCGGGGGAGAGTGCGTGAACGCTGAACACACATCCACCGGGGCAGTCCTGCCGTGGGAGGGGCGCGGATGCCGAGCCACAAGGGATGCTGGTGGTCCCGCCGGAGCTCGAGGTCGGAGATAGGGAGGTCGAGGCCCGGATCTCATGGTTGGGGATGACGGCCGTAGCAGGGGAGGTCGAGGTCGGAGGAGGTCACCGATGGAAACCATAGCTGCCGTGTGCATGGCGAATGCCGGCGTGCGAGTAGGGCACGAAGGCGGACCAGGGGTTGGAGGCGAACCAGCGGAGGTAGGGCATGGAGGTAGTGGCGCGCGGTGGCATGGAATTTTGGTAGCCTACCAGCGGCAAAGACAGAGTTTTGGTAGCCTACCGGCGGCAAAGACAAGAGTGAGCGCCCAAGACTTAGCCAAATCGAAACCCCCCGTGCCCTCCTACTTATATACCGAAGAGCATTTGTAGGCGCGGCTTAAAACATCAGCTGCCTCAACAAATATTTTTCATATTTGTTTAATTAATAATTCTATATTATATATATATTTATATAATAATTTTATAATTATTCTATATATGTATAAATATATACATATTAACAATACACTAATATATATATATAATTCCATATTTTCTTCTTTACAAAAAATTAAAAACATATTTTAAAAAATAAAAAATAAAAATTCAAAACTTCGAATAGAATTTTAGGACACTAAATGACCTCAAATAAATATGTTGTAAACATCAAAGTTGTATAACTCATCAAGATGTACAACTTTTATTTTGGTCATCTTTTCATGTGACTTTGTTTGAATGATTCAAAATTTACATTTCAAAAATGACAACTTGAAAAAACATTTTCAAAAGTATATGAGGGAAGGTCGAGGTCGGAGATGGGGCGGAGGCGGAGAGGCACGGCGATGGTCGTCGAGGTCGCCGGCGGAAACTCTAGCCACCGTGTGCATGGGGAACGCCGGCGCGCGTAGGGCACGAAGGCGGACTAGGGGTTGGAGGCGGACCGGGAGAGGTAGGGCACGGAAGTAGTGGCGGCGGCGGCGCGGAATTTTGGCAGCCTACCGCGCGGCAAAGAGAGAGTGAGCACCCAAGACTTAGCCAAATCGAAGCCCCCCGCGCCCTCCTGCTTATATACCGAAGAGCATTTGTAGGCGCGGCTTAAAACATCAGCTGCCTCAACAAATTTTTTCATATTTGTTTAATTAATAATTCTGTATTATATATATATATATATTTATATAATAATTTTATAATTATTATATATATGTATAAATATATACATATTAACAATACACTAATATATATATATAATTCCATATTTTCTTCTTTACAAAAAATTAAAAACATATTTTAAAATTAAAAATTTAAAATTCAAAACTTCGAATAGAATTTTAGGACACTAAATGACCTCAAATAAACATGTTGTAAACATCAAAGTTGTATAACTCATCAAGATGTACAACTTTTATTTTGGTCATTTTTTCATGTGACTTTGTCTGAATGATTCAAAATTTAAATTTCAAAAATGACAACTTGAAACAATATTTTCGAAGAGTATATGAGGGAAGGTCAAGGTCGGAGATGGGGCGGAGGCAGAGAGGCACGGCGGTGGTCGTCGAGGTCGCCGGCGAAAACCCTAGACGCCGTGTGCATGGGGAACGCCGACGCGCCAGAGGGCATGAAGGCGAACTAGGGGTTGGAGGTGGATCGGGGGAGGTAGGGCACGGAGGTAGTGGCGGCGGCGGCGTCGCAGAATTTTGGCAGCCTACCGGCGGCAAAGAGAGAGTGAGCACCCAAGCTTAGCCAAATCGAAGCCCCCCACGCCCTCCTACTTATATATCAAAGAGCATTTGTAGGGGCGACATAAAACATCAACCGCCTCAACAGATATTTTTCATATTTGTTTAATTAATAATTATATATTCTATATATATATATTTATATAATAATTTTATAATTATTCTATATATGTATAAATATATACATATTAACAATATGCTATATATATATATAATTCCATATTTTCTTCTTTGCAAAAAAAATTATATTTTAAAAATTAAAATTTTAAAATTTGAAACTTTGAATAGAATTTTAGGATACTAAATGATCTTAAATAAAAATGTTGTAAACATCAAAATTGTATAATTCATCAAGATGTACAACTTTCATTTTGGTCATCTTTTCATGTAACTTTGTTTGAATGATTCAAAATTTGAATTTCAAAAATGACAACCTGAAATTACATTTTCGAAGAGTATATGATTCAAATGTAAAAATCATGAATATAAAAGTTGTTGAACTCATCAAGATCTACAACTTTTATTTTTGTTATTTTTCATTTGACAAAGTGTTAGCAAACATTATTCATAAATGGACATATCTCTCTTCTAGTTTCATAAACTGTATGAGATTTATGAATTTGTGAAGAATGTTTGCTAACACTTTGTAAAATGAAGAAATGATCAAAATAAATGTTGTATAACATGATCAGGTCTATAACTTTTATATTGATGACTTTTTCAGATGAGATCATTTAGTGTTTCAATATCTGGTTTGAAGTTATAGTTATTTGAAATTCAAAATTTGAATTGTTAAAAATTTGTCACATGAAAAGATGATCAATATAAATTTGATAGAGCATGATTTTTAACAAGTGTGATTTCTCTTTTTAATCTGTGGCTAAAATTTATAACTAGTCTTTCTCCCTCATACTAACTCTAAATGCTATGGTTTTTTCTTCTAAAATTTTCTAAAATCATGCTCTATCAAATTTATATCGTTCATCTTTTCATGTGACAAATTTTGAATTTTCAAATAACTATAACTTCAAACCAGATTTTGAAATACTAAATGATCTCAGCTGAAAAGGTCATCAATATAAAAGTTATAGAACTCATCAAGATGTACAACTTTTATTTTGGTCATCTTATCATGTGACTTTGTTTGAATGATTAAAATTTTGAATTTTTAAAAATGACAACTTGAAACAATATTTTGGAATAGCATATGATTTCAAATGTAAAAGTCATGAATATAAAAGTTTTTTAACTCATCAAGATCTACAATTTTTATTTTGGTCATTTCTTTTTTGTCAAAGTGTTAGCAAACATTGTTCATAAATTGACATCTCTCATCTAGTTTCATAAACTTTGTGTGAGATTCATGAATTTGTGACCAATGTTTACTAACATTTTGTCAAATGAAGAATTGACCAAAATAAAAGTTGTAGATCTTGATGAGTTATATAACTTTTATATTCATGACTTTTCTAGCTGAAATCATTTACTCTTTGAAAATGTTGTTTGAAGTTGCCATTTTGTGAAATTCAAAATTTGAACTTTTCGAACTAAGTCACGTGAAAAGATGACCAAAATGAAATTTGTAAATCTTGATGAGTTTTACAACTTTGATGTTTACAAGATTTTTATTTTAGGTTATTTTCTATCTTAAAATTCAATTCAAAGTTCATAAATTCAAATTTTTAATTTTTAAATATAATTTTTTTTTTTAAAAAAAGAAAATGTATCATTACATATATCAGCGAGTTGTTTTTTATGTGTACGGGCAAATATAGCAAATTATTTTTAATACATTTATACATTTATATATACATTTATAAAAAATATGCAGAACTACTATTTTAAAAAATGTGAAAATATTTGTAGGGACGGCTGGTGAGTGAGCCGTCTTTACAAATCGAATTTGTAGGGGCGGCTGGTGACTGAGCCGCCCCTACAAATTGTAGGGTGGCCCGTATCACCAACCACCCCTACTGTGTCATTCGTAGAGGCGGCTGGTCTCGTGGGTCCCGAGCACGCCCACTATAGAGGCGGTTCCATCACCAAATTACCCCTAAAAAAAAAAATTATTCTATTGCTACAAACATTTTCTATAGTAGTGGACATCGTGACCCTAGTTGTGGAGGATGATGAAGGGATAAGGTGAGGATGATAAGTTAACAACAGTTATGCTTGCCACACTAGATTAGAATGCACCAGAGAGAGGGAGAGAGCATGGAGATGCTCTAGTTCTGAATGACGAGTTAATATTGTACAGTAGTTTTGAAGAAAAAAATGACGTGAGACAAAACCCCGACGAATATTGCGACCGTCGTACTGTAGGATCGTTGCATGGTACCTGGACGCATGACGAAAACGTGCCCTACTTTGTTGCCCCAACGTGTTCTTGACACTTGTCATTAAGGAATTCCTAGGCAAGGCGGTCCAAGCAATTGCTAGCGCCAACCATTCGTAGAGCAGCAGAGCTACTCAAAGCCACTTTGCCCACCGCACGCACGCCGCGCCGGCCCGGCCGGCCGGCTCTATAAATCTGCCACCTAGCTTCATCCTCTCTTCACTTTTCTCATCAGCAACCAACACAAAGCCCGGCCTTACCAGCAACTGAGCGAGAGCGAGAGATACTAGCTACAAGATGGCAGCACCGGTGCAGACCATGGCCACTACGCCCCAGGCCCTTGAGCCTGCTGCTGTGGTGGTCACGTCGGTGTTCCAGCCAGGGAAGCTTGCCGTCGAGGTGATCTCAGTGGATCACGACGCCCGGCCAACGCCGCCGATCCCCATCCTGATCGCTGCTCCCAAGGATGCCGGCACCTACCCCGTCGCCATCCTCCTGCACGGCTTCTTCCTCCAGAACCGCTACTACGAGCAGCTCCTCAAGCACGTCGCCTCGTTTGGCTTCATCATGGTCGCACCACAGGTTGTTGGCTATGGCTAGTGTGGCTGCATGTCTCTGTACTTTTGTTGACCGTATGTATGATCTGACGACACATGCATATGCAACTTATACTCCTATATATATGCAGTTCCATACCAGCCTCATATCCAACAGCGACGCCGATGACATTGCGGCGGCAGCCAAGGTGACGGACTGGCTCCCCGAGGGCCTGCCGTCCGTGCTCCCGACCGGCGTGGAGGCCGACCTTTCCAAGCTCGCCTTGGCCGGCCACAGCCGAGGTGGCCACACGGCCTTCTCCTTGGCCCTGGGCTACGCCAACACCAGCCTCAAGTTCTCCGCGCTCATCGGGCTCGACCCCGTCGCCGGCACCGGCAGGAACTCGCAGCTCCCGCCGGCGATCCTCACCTACGAGCCCTCGTCGTTCGACATCGCCGTGCCGGTGCTGGTCATCGGCACCGGGCTGGGCGACGAGAGGGAGAACGCGCTGTTCCCTCCCTGCGCCCCCGTGGACGTCAACCACACCGAGTTCTACCGCGAGTGCAGGGCTCCGTGCTACCACCTCGTGACCAAGGACTACGGCCACCTCGACATGCTGGACGACGACGCTCCCAAGCTTGTGACCTGCCTCTGCAAGGAAGGGAACAGCTGCAAGGACGTGATGAGGAGGACCGTCGCCGGGATCATGGTCGCCTTCTTCAAGGCCGTCATGGGCGAGGAAGATGGTGATCTCAAGGCCATACTCGAACACCCTGGGCTCGCACCAACGACACTGGACCCTGTCGAGTATCGGTTGGCATGAGCTGAAGAGATATCTATTATTAGCACTGTTGACGAGTCATAATAACTTCATAATAAGTTATTCAATTTGTTGTTTTTCAATTCGGTTGTTCTTCTCCATGTAAGTCTTTACTTTATTCATTCATCTCTGTAATGTGTGAACACTTGCGGTAATAAAATTCGATCGTTTTTTTTAATCTGCTAGGATGATAACAAATCGAGCGTGACTACCGCCCGAACGTCTGGACGCTAGCCCCCGTTCGGACGCCCGCGCCTGGTGCGCCTGTCCACACCAGCTGCGCTTCCCGCCCGCCACGCGCCTGCTGTCGTGCCTACCCGACGTTCGTGCGCTCGTCGCGTAGGGTTTTCTTGCTGAGCTCAAACTGTCACGATGAGATGGAGGGAAGGGAAGGGAAGGGAGGGGAGGTAGAGGAAAGGAAAGGCCAAGGCGTGTCGCGCGAGGTAGGAACCGAAGCCTTACGGCAGGTCGCTGTCCGCCAACCACCGGCGCCATTGCAATATATGCAACACCAGATCTACTTTTGAAACATCTAGATGAAACATTTGTAAACATAAGTATGAAACAGATGAAACACTTGAAATATGCGTTCGAAACATGCGGGTGTAGCCATCGCAATACGTGCAACACCAAGATCTACTTTTGAAACATCTAAATGAAACATTTGTAACAGAAACACATGAAACACTTACAACATGATATTTTGTCATTGCAACATCCCAGATATATTGTTGCAACATCTAGATAAAACACTTGAAACAAAAGTCTGAAACGCCTGAAACATTAAAACACCGCTTTGACCTGCGAGGCCACGGGCTACCTGGTGGGGAACTTTGGTAGATCAACGAGGAGTACACAGAGCAGATGGAGGCCGCCCTGGGGCGCTGGAGTGGCGATGGCAAGCATCAGCTGAGCATGGAGGCCAAGGTGGGCCGCCGCCCAGAGGAGCCCCACAAGGAGAGCCATCTCGCAGGTCGCCCCCGACGTTGTGGGCTGCTCCAGCACCCTCACCACCACCGACAGCACGTACCCCATCGGAGCCAGTTGGCGAGCAGTGACTGGCATGGGGAGACAAACGCGGCGGTGCGTATGTGGGTAGGGCTAGACAAAATACTCGCGGCTCGCCAACTCACTCGACTTGTGGCCGGCTCAGCTCGGCTCGACTCGGCTCGTTTTAACTTTTTCACGAGTTGAGCTAGAAGTCTAGCTCGCTATTTTAACGAGCCAGCTCGCGAGCTGCTCACGAGATAAAACGAGCTGAGGCCTATCAATCTACGACCATGAATCTAGAAGATGATGATGCTGACCTAAAAGTATACAACTATTCTATTGTTACATAATCCTTATTTTCAACTGTTTCATATGAATTTTAGTTTTATAATTGTTATGGTACTTAAATGTTGATTTTATGTATTGTTTTTCAGGGAGAAGATGATGATGTTGATATTGAATCTATAGACTTTCATAAGTTTGTGGTGGCAAGCAACTAGTTAGTATGCTGGAACTGCATGATCATGGATGGACCAGCTATGTTGCATAGTTGATATTTTTGATGAACCTGATATGTATTAATCATGTATTGTTGCATAATGGTGGACGTCACCTTCTAGAATTAATGTAGCATAAACATTATAAACATGTGTGTCCTTTTTTTAGTAGCTCGCGAGCTAAACGAGCTAGCTCGAGCTCGGTAACGAGTCGAGCCGAGCTACCCCTCTAGCTTGTAATATTAACGAGCCGAGCCGAGCTGGCTCGTTAGGCTAACGAGCCAGCTCGAGCTGGACCGAGCCGAGCTGAGCCAGCAGCGGAGGATGGAGCGCAGCGTGGGAATGGGGAGCCACGTGTCGCCGATAGGCGCGCACATCATGGGCAGGAGCAAGCCACGGGAAAGGCAATAGCGCGAGGCGGGTGTGTGGGCGCGCGGCGTTTGAATAAGGGCCCTGTTCGCTTGAACTTATCAGCCAGAATCAACACTACTTTTCAACCATGAAACAATGTTTTTCTCTCTCAATAAATCTAGCATCAGCGACGGAAAAGAACGAAGGACGCCCGTGTGAGAGCATTATCGTAATAAATCATATTGCTTTCACTACAATCTCCAAATGGAATCCAAGCAATACTTACATTACATGGTAGTGGGCTCCGGAAATGCACCGTTCCTGTACTGGATGTGCAATAAGAGGACACGTGATTTTCACTACTTCTTAACTCAAGTGCACAGATAAACTGGATTACTACTTACAATTGCACATACATAAATGAAGAGGGGTATCAAGGCAGTTCATCACTTCTCCCGTTGTCGTTGGTAGTGACCGACGGCGAGAACAAATGTACAAAACCGCGACGGCGTCGGCATGGGTTCCGGCCATCGCCCTGTCCGCCGCCATTGACCGTCAAGGTCAGCAGCGGCCGACTAATCCGCGGGGGAAAGAAGGGCTTCGTTGATCGAACACGTTGGGCTGGGCCTTCAGTTAAACACGTCGCCATCCCATGGGCTGGGCCAGTCCACAATTCTCAAACGCTGCCTTTCAATTTGAGAGTACTACATACGCAGGAAGTCCGGTCGGAATTGACCAATTCATCGTGTTTGATTGACGCCTAATTTGGTGCCTCCTGCTGCTGCTTATCATCAAACTGCACACGGCAGCTTCCCTCGATTTCTCCATCTCTGACCAACAACCTTCTCGGCCAGTTCTCAGGCTCTGTGCACGTGCAATTTGCCAGTTTCTCTGAACAGAAAGTCTGAATACTACCAATGTAAGTATGTAACCATGATTGCTGCTTCCGGTCTCCTTCGTTTTTTTGCTATGTATATCCATTACGTACTTGTGAGACAATTTTTTGGTCCTTTTTCTATCAAATATTGGGTTTCCTTTGGTCTATCCAGTAACGAAGCACAATTTTGCAGTAGTACGTAGTTTTACTGATTTCTTGTGGTGGTTGGCCTCAAGAACTCCAGTTATTGAAGAAAGAAGAGTTTGAATGACTAGAGAAATTTTTTTTCTGAATGAATCAGCATGAAAGGATGTCAAATTCATTGAAGAAGAGTTTGAAAACATAAGGCCCCTAGGGACTGAGAGGAACATCATTAAAGAATTAGAGTAAATTTGATCGAGACCGTCTTGGCTTAGTACCTCCCTCCTGGTGGTCAAAGTTCGAGTCCTGGGAACTCACTTTCATGGCTTCGGCCACAACGACCAGGAGGGTAAAAAACTCCCTCGTCTATCCCACATCTAAAGCACAGGTCTGTGGCCAGTTCATCTCTGGAGCCGCAGTGCCGCTGTGTAAGGACGGGGCAGCGGTTTGGTGGTGTTCTCGATCTGCGTAAGAAGATCTTCTTCTTAAGCCGGAATACCCAAGGGTTGTCTGTGGCAGAACCGTCCGAAATAACACGCTTACGGAGCTGCTCGTCTTGCACCAGACACTAAGCACCCTGAAAGCAAGCTATAGCGGGCGGTATCCGTCGGGCACACCCCAAGGAAGAGCCCGAAAGATCCACATTTTTCCCAAGGATCCAATAATGAAAACGAGTTACAATACTTGTTCATTTCATACATCAGAGTTTCTTAAAATTACATTATTATAACACCAAATGTCAGAGTGCAGAATGATAAACAGCGGAATTTAAAATAAACATCTAGCGATAAGAACGAGGATCCGTTTGAGCCCACCAGAAGAATCATACACACAAGGTACTTCTCATGCATCACCTGCAACAGGGGTAAATAAACCCTGAGTACATAATGTACTCGCAAGACTTATCTGACTAGTGGGAATAATTTTCCGACTCCAAGGAATATGATAAGCTTTATGGTTTGCTGGTTTTCTTTTAGCAGAAAGCAATACTAATAGTGAGTCCTTATTTATGTTATTATTATCAGTCGTATTAAGTTATTATCTATCCAGTCTATATAAGCACCTATTCTATTTTCAAGCAAGAGTTGAGCAATCAGTTCTATTTCATCACCTTTCATCTTTCAGTTCTTACTACGGTGCTGGACACGAAACAAGCCGTACCGAATCGCCCGGTGATTCGCGAATCAATGTGCCCAGCTGGGTGTCCTGAAAACACACGCCCCATTTGTACCCCAGGCACAAGCAGGACTAACCCATCGCCCTCCTGTCCTATGTGTCCAGGTCCCCGTCCAAACTTGGACACCAAGCCCCCACTCCTGAGTCCCGGACTTAGTGCGGTGCAAGGACCTCCACCATCCCCGCCTCCCATCAGTCGGTCCGGAAAGAGCCGGATCCACGATAAGAGAGCAACAAGTCTTCCCTGCGCCCATACCCAAGTATGCGCTCAGGACAATAAATTTGTGACTTGCCCACGATGCCTTATGCAACGACCAGTCCTTAATTGGCACAGATAGGGAAAAAGTGTAACCGAGTTATGCCATGTTGGCCGCAGGACACAACCCCTTACACCCACCAGTACCCAAACCATATCCCTGTCCGGTCACCATTTTCCTTTCCACCATTTTATCATGAGTGATCATATTTATCACCTATTTGCGAGTAACGGCAGGTTACTCACGCTACGATATCCTGAGCGTAGCATCTACTCAACCTATACTAGTAGGACTCATGGGTAGATATATTTATGCATGTAGTTTCCATAAAATGCCTGTAACTTAAATGCACATCATATATATATTCAGTGATCATAAATAAGGTTTATACACTGAGGCTTGCCTTGGGCAGGCGACGGGTCAGTACGGTCAGCACCAAACGGCTCTCGGGGCTCTCTCCTGCACGAGGATCTCCTCCTCGTACTCCTCAATGACTTAGTTGTACTCCTGTTTGTCGTCGACGGACATGAATTCTATCAACTCGTGATCTACATGCATGAAATGATGATGCAATGCTTAGTAATATAGCAACAACAACTCTTAAAATAAAGGTACATCTGTTTAACCGCTAAGCTAGTGCTACTAAGCACAGTACTAAGCTATTTATCGTTGCTGATAACAAGTTTGACGTATGGCATACAATATTATAACAAC